ACTCGATGTACATGGGTTTGAGTAAACTCCGGGAGCTGCTGATAGAGAGGGAGGCCTGGCGTGCTGCCATTCATGGGGTCACAAAGAGTCGGACATGGCTGAGCAACTGAACTGAACTGAACTGGATATTCTATTGTGTTTATACACCATATTTTGCTTATCTATTTTTATATTGATGGGCATTTGTATTGTTTCCACATTTTGCCTATTGTGAGTCATGCTGCAATGAACATTGATGTACTAGTATTTGTTTTGAGTCCCTGTTTTCATATCTGGGTACATACCTAGCAGTAGAATTGCTGGATTATATGGTAATTCTGATTTAACTTTTTTGAGAACCACCGTACTATTTTTCATAGCAGCTGTACTTTCTAGGTTCACATAATTATGCACAGGAGTTCCTAATTTCTCTATACCCTTCCCAGTACTTGTTATTTTCTGTTTTTTTTTTTTTTTTTTTTTTTATTGGTTTTTTTGTTGGTTTTAAGGGTTTTTGTTTCCCCTTTGGTTATTGCTTGGGGTTTTTGTTCTTTTTTTCTTGTGTTTTTTTTCCTTTTTTTTTTTTTCTTTGGGGAGTTTTTTGTTCGGTTCTTTCTTCCTTTTTTGATTGGGGTTTTTTTTGTTTTTTGAGTTGTAAGAGTTATTCTGCATATTAATTCTGTTTCCGATATATACTTTACTAATATTTTTTCCTATTCTATGTGTTGTCTTTTCATTTTCTTGATAGTATTCTTTGATGCACAAAAGTGTGTAAATATTAATGAAATACAATCTATTGACTTCTTTTTCTTTTGTTGCTTATGCTTTTTGTATCCAGTTAACAATGGCCAAATATGATGTCATCAAGATTTCTTCTATGTTTTCTTCTAAGAGAGTTTTGTAATTTTTAGCTCCCAGGAATTTTTTCTTTGACCATGCCCCCATGGCATGTAGGATTCGTGTTCCCTGACCAGGGAACAAACTCATGTCCCCTGCATTGGAAGCTCAGAATCTTAATCACTGGACCACCAGGGAAGACCCCCCCCACCCCTGCCCCGCCCTAGTATTTTTATAAAATTCTCTCCACCTAGTGCAAGGTTCCTGACTTGGACTTTCTCTCTGAAGGTATAATTAACAGTCAGTATTACTCTGAGGACATGGTAGAGAATACCAAATTTTATTCTGTTTAAGCTTAGATTTATAGCCTCTTATGGAGAGAATTTATAAGCTGTATCAGAAGACTGAGATCACATTTTAAAGGCACTTAAAACTCAGTTTCCTAAACTTTCAGTAAAAATTGTCTTTCTGTTTTCTAATGCAATAAAAAAGTTTAACCCACTGTTTAGGTTTTTTTTTAAAACAATAATACTGTTAACTAATTTATAACTAATGATATAACATAGAATGCAAAGAACTCTGAAGTAGGAGTTAGGAGGCTTGGATTTTAATCCTGGCTTTGCTGTGATTTATGTAATGTCTGAACATAGGGATGAGCAGTGATAAAGTGTAGATGGTTAGATGATGCATCAACTCTGTAAGGGTGGATTCACCCTAAGGTATAATGATTTACTTTCTGTCAGAATTGCTGAGTTTAGTGGTACGAGTTGTTGGTGTGGGACAGTGTTATCTAAAGTTTTGCCATTTAAATGCCATTTTATTTTCATGTAGATTTGCAGATGATTATAAAGTCGCTATTCAACAGACTTACTCTTGGATAAATCAGACTGATACTACAGATAAAAATGGATTCTTGATTGTATCAAAAAATAAGAAACGTTCACGGCAGAAAGCAGCAGTTCATGTGCTAAATTTTTGGTGCTTAAATCCAGCTGTGGTAAGCATATCATGCTGTAAAAAAGAATTCTTCTTGCTCAGTACCAACAATTAAGTAAATTTGTTTGACTTTTTAAAGAATGATTTTATGTATTTAATGTTGTTTCCTTGTAGGCCTTTTCAGATATTAATGGCAAGGTTTGGACAATTGTTTTGACATCTGGGACATTATCACCAATGAAATCCTTTTCATCAGAACTTGGTGTTACATTTACTATTCAATTAGAGGCTAATCATGTCATTAATAACTCACAGGTTAGTTTCTTTTTTTTTTTAATCTCTCTTAGTCTTTTTACCTCAGTATAATTGTCTATAAACAAGTTAAAAGATAATTGAAGGACTAGCAAACAAACCCTGATAGAAAAGTCAACATTTCAGTTTTAGAATAAAAGAAAATTTGTCAGCTACTTAGTAGTGGCAGAAAAGGAACTACTGATAAATAGTATTCCTTCAACCCAGTGAGTAAAAATATATACTTTGCTTGCAAAGACTGTATTGCAGTTTCCTTATTTAATTAAGTTTAAAATTTTTTAATAAAAATTAAAAAGGAAACTAATTCACCCCTTTTTTTTAAACTAATTTCTAATTGTGTAATTATTTGTGATTCTGTTTTCCATTAGACTATGGTGTATCTATATTCTAATTTTTGTCTTTATCTTTACATTGTACCTAGATTAATAGCTGGTATTAGTTAATAAGTGTTTAGCACATGTTTGAATATCTGAAATGAATTGAAAGTATTCTGTGAGTCCTGTGGCACAGATTTTAATTTTTCATAACAATACCCTGTAAAAAAAAAATACCCTGTAGATGTTACTTAAATTTTCCTAAGGATGTTTCAATTTTCATTTGTCAGTCTGCCCTCTATTTCTTTTTATTAAGTAATTGAAAGTAGTTAGCTACATGCATGATGGTATGGCCATAATAGAAGCAGAAGATGTTAAGAGAAGAGGTGGCACGAATACACAGAAGAACTGTACACAAAAAGATCCTAATGACCTGGATAATCACGATGGTGCGATCACTCACCCAGAGCCAGACATCCTGGACTGTGAAGTCAGGTGGGCCTTAGGAAGCATCACTGTGACCAAAGCTAGTGGAGGTGATGGAATTCCAGCCGAGCTATTTCAGATCCTAAAAGATGATGCTATTAAAGTGCTGCCCTCAAAATGCCAGCAAATTTGGAAAACTCAGCACTGGCCACAGGACTGGAAAAGATCAGTTTTCATTCCAATCCCAAAGAAGGACAATGCCAAAGAATGTTAAACTACCACACAATTGCACTCATCTCACATGCTAACAAGGTAATGCTCAAAATCTTTCAAGCTAGGCTTCAACAGTACATGAACTGAGAACTTCCAGATGCTCAAGCTTGATTTAGAAAAGGCAGAGGAACCAGAGGTCAAATTGCTAACATCCACTGGATCATAGAAAAAGCAAGAGAATTCCAGAAAACATCTGCTTCATTGACTACGTTGAAACCTTTGTTTGGATCACAACAAACTGTGGAAAATTCTGAAAGAGATGGGAATACCAGGCTGCTTTACCTGCCTCCTGAGAAATCTGTATGCAGGTCAAGAAGCAACACTTAGAACCAGATGTGGAACAACAGACTGGTTCAGAATTGGGAAAGAGAATATGTCAAGACTGTATATTGTCACCATGCTTATTTAACTTATATGCAGGGTACATCATGTGAAATCCTAGGCTGGATGAATCACAAGCTGAAATCAAGATTGCTGGGAGAAGTATCAGTAGCCTCAGATATACAGATGACATCACCCTTATGGCCGAAAGCAGAGAAACTAAAGAGTCTTTTGATGAAGGTGAAAGAGGAGAGTGAAAAAGTTGGGTTAAAACTCAACATTCAGAAAATGAAGACCATGGCATCCGGCCCCATTACTTTATGGTAAATAGATGGGGAAACAATGGAAACAGTGAGAGACTTTGTTTTCTTGGGCTCCAAAATCACTGCAAATGGTGACTGCTGCCATGAAATTTAAAGACGCCTGCTCCTTGGAAGAAAAACAATGACAAACCTAGACAGCATATTAAATAGCAGAGACATTACTTTGCCCGCAAAGTTCCCTATAGTCACAGCTATGCTTTTTCCAGTAATCATGTATGGATGGATATATGTGTGGATACATGTATGGATATGAGAGCTGGACCATAAAGAAGGCTGAGGGCCTTCAGAGAACTGATGCTTTTGAACTGTGGTGTTGGAGAAGACTCTTGAGATTCCTTGAACTGCAAGGAGATCAAACCAGTCCATCCTAAAGGAGATCAGTCCTGAATATTCATTGGGAAGACTGATGCTGAAGCTCCAATACTTTGGCGATCTGATGTGAAAAGGTAACTCATTTGAAAAGACCCTGATGCTGGGAGAGATTGAAGTCTGGAGAAGGAGGTGATGACAGAAGATGAGGTGGTTGAGTGTCATCACTGACTCAATGGACATGAGTTTGAGCAAACTCTGGGATATGGTGAAGGACAGGGAACCCTGGCGTGCAGTAGTCCATGGGGTCACAAAGAATCAGACACAACCGAGCAACTGAATAGCAACAACAGCAATGTGTTTATTAGTACTTGAGCACCTGATTCAATTGTAGTTCTTTAAAAGAGCCATAAAACAGCTATAGTTTCCAACCAAGGATCATTTGTGGGAATTACTGGCATTTAGTAGGTGAGGGTCTTGAATGCTAGACTCCTATGTAACAATGAATTGTGGGTTCCAAAATGCTAGAGTGCTCTTGTTTAGAAACATTGCTATTAGCAGTAGCAAAAGAAAAATATATGATCCACATTTTCAAATTGTTTTCTTTGGAGGTTCACATAAATATGGGAAGTTATTAATAGATTGAACATATTTTTCCACAAGAATGTTATTATAGGGTCTTTGTTCTCAATCGTGTGCACAAAAGTCCATTTAATTTATAATATTACTAGGTAATGATAATTAGTAAGAATAATGCTAGTTCAGTTGGATTCTGTTATAATATTTCCCCCAGCTTTTAAAAACTTTAATTTTAATTGTAGTAGAAAACACATCATAAAGTTTACCATGTTAACTGTTTTTAAGTGTACAGTTCGGTTTTATAAGGATATTCATATTGTTGTGTAACCAATATCTAGAGTTTTTTCATCTAACAACACTGAAATCCTATTATAAAATAACAATTCTCAACCCCCCCCTTCTCCCAGCCCCTGGTGACCTCCATTCTACTTTTTGTTTTTATGAATTTGACTATTCTAAATAAATCATCTAAATGGAATTACAAAACTTTGTAATTAGTTTTTTTTGTTTAGAATGATGTCTTCAGAGTTCATCTTTGTTGTAACATGAATCAGAATTTCTTCCTTATTAAGGCTGAATAATATTTGAATTGTGTGTGTGTATCACATTTTGTTTGTCCATTTGTTTGTTGATTTCCCCAACTCTTTATTTAAAAAAGTATAGCTTAAAAAAAAAAGTATAGCTTTAAAAAAGTGGAAAAAATAGTATTAACATAGTGAATATCTTTATACCCTTAATCTAGATCCATCAGTTGTGTAACTTTGTATCTTTGTATATATACATATGAGAGAAAAGAAGAGAAGAGTAATTCTTCAAAATGTTGATGATTACATTAACTGGATATGTTATTAGAAAGTAATTTGTAGACATTTTGATTCTTTGCCCTTAATTAGTTTAGAATGTTTATCCTGAGAACAGGTACATAATCTTGTGTAATCACAATATCATGATCATACCCAAGCAATTTAATATTACTACAAATAGAATCTATATTCTTCCAGTTATTTCCAGTATGACTTTAATAGTGTACCTGTTTATTTTTTTTTTAATTCTTGATCCAGGATCCAGTTAAGTATTATATATTGCATGTGGTTTTCATGTTTCTTTAGTTTTGTTTATCTTTTTTTTTTTCTTTCTTATTTTAGATTGAATTATAATTGATTTACAATATTAGTTTCTGGTGTCCAACATAATGATTCAAAATTTTTATAGATACTCCATTTGGTGTTATTATGAAATATTAGCTGTTATCCTTGTGCTGTACAATATATCCTTGTAGCTTATTTATTTTTATACACAGTAGTTTATACCTCTTAATCTCTGACCCCTATCTTGGATTTTTGCCCTCTGGAGTAACCGCTACTATGTTCTCTCTATTTGTGAGCCTTTCTGTTTTGTTATATTGATTCATTTGTTTTAGTTTCCACATGTAAGTAGTAACATACCTTATTTTTCTGTGTCTGACTTATTTCACTTAGCCTGATACCTTGTAAGTCCATCTGTGTTGTTGCAGTTGACCAAATGTTATTCTTTTTTTATGTACCTGTATAAATGTAGAGAAATTGTATATAACTAAAATTTGATGGGTCTGATTTTCTATGACTGTAGATCTTTTGCGCATCAGGGAATTTGTGAAACAGTAGTTTCTGTCATAAGTGAATCTTAGAGACTTACCTATAGCAGATGGTGTGTGCATGCTCAGTTACTCAATCGTGCTGGACTGTTTGTGATAGCCTGCAAGGCTCCTCTATCCATGGTATTCTTCAGGCAAGAATACTGGAGTGGGTTGCCATTTCCTCCTCCAGGGGATCTTGCTGACTCAGGGATTGAATCTGCATCTCCTGCATNTATTAATCAAGACATAGATTAATAGCAGCATCCATTACTTCAAAGTATTTTAAAACAATAAGATTTAGACATATTATAATAGGCCTTCTGAAAAACACTTTTCCAGCAGAAAAGAAATGGTGTGGTGGTTATTTGGCAATACATTGCATATATTCACAAAACACACATGTAGTATCACTGAAAGTCCAGGGCCAAAGGTCTAATTATATGCCATTTTCAGATCAATAACTTTACTCCATTTTACTTCAGGCACAAAGAGAAGAGGCAAACCCCTGAAACTTCTGTGAGTTATGGGGATTCCCAGATGGTGCAGTGGTAAAGAATCCGCCTGCCAATGCAGGAGATGCAAATTTGATCTATAAGTTGGGAAGACCTCCTAGAGGAGAAAATGGCAACCCACTCCAACATTCTTGCCTAGAAAATTCCATGGACAGGGAAGCCTGGCAGATTACATTTCACAGGGTCGTGAAGAATTGGACATGACTGAGTGACCGAGCACCCTTACATACATAACTAATTAAAGATAATAGGAAAAAGCCCAACAATTTAAAAATAAATTTTCTCTAAAGTCATTGATCTCTTTTTCACATACACAATTAAGGCTCCCAACTAAATGCTAATTTGCCTGCCTTATTTAGGTATAACTCTAATTCTGACGTACTTATATTCTAGGTTTGGGTTGGCACCATTGGGTCAGGGCCCAAGGGTCGCAATCTCTGTGCTACCTTCCAGCACACGGAAACATTTGAATTCCAGGATGAAGTGGGAGCACTTTTGTTATCTGTGTGCCAGACTGTTAGCCAGGGAATTTTGTGTTTCCTGCCATCTTACAAGGTAAGGGAATATTTTTGTTTACTTTTGCATTTGAATAATCATATGGCATTATCATGATAAGCTTCCTAGGATCAGATGCAACAGAGTAATTACAGTTTTTTAAGCATCATATATTATTTTGCTTTTTATTGGTTAAGATACTGCCTGCTTATTCTGTCACTGTTTTACTTGGAAGTCCAAAAGACTAAAGGTATTCAAGCATTTTAGTGGGCTATTTTGTATACGTGATTTTTATTCTTGGGGCAAGTTGATATTTTCTGATTAAAGGAAAAAGGATCATTATTTTTCACTTTGATAGACTTTGGAAATTTCAAAATATGAATTTAAAATATGATTTTCTTTAATGCCCATCTTTTTGCTTCATGTATTTGGCTAGGAAAAAAAACTTTTTCTTGTTTTTAGAGTCGTTCTGAGTTTTAATATTTTCAGGAGTTAAATTGAGTTATATAATATATTTTAGTCCTCCTAATACTCAAAGCATTAAAACCACACATAATTCCTGAGAGTAGTATCATATTTTATGAAAATCTAAGCTAAATTTCAGTGTAGAGGTGGTATTCCCTTTTCTTTTTTCATAGGAGGTTATTATATATATAAGGATCATAGTGTAATGTATTTGAATGACAATATTGATACCTTTGGCTCTTGTGTTGTCTTTCCCTCTATATACATACTGCTATGGTCTGTTGTGTCCCTCCAGATTTTATATGTTGAAATTCTAGCCCCAAGAGATGACATTTGTAAGTGGAGTCTTTGAGAGATGCTTTAGGCATGGTGATGTAGTCCTCATGAATAGAATTAATGACTTAAAAAGAAGCTCCAGAGAGATTTCTTGTCCTTTTTACCATGTGAGGTCACAGTGAGAAGGTGCCACTGTGAACCAGGAAGAGGGCCTTCACCAAACATCACTGTGCTGGTGCCTTGATTTTGTACTTTACACCAATCAGAACTGTGATAAATTCTCTTGTTTATAAGCCACTCAGTTCCTGACGTTTTGTTATAGTAGCTGGAATGGGACTAAGACACATACTTTGTGTACAAAGGTCCTGTAAATACTGTAGATAAACTGAAGGAATTACTCTCAGGAGAAATTTAATCAGATAGGTTTCTTTTTTTTTTTCCAAGAATATCTAAAAATGAAACGGACATAAACATATTGAAAATTCTTATTACAAAGCAATATTTATTACAGAGTGAACATCTATCCCAGAAGTTATGTGAGGGAAAACTAATAATTAAGCCTGGAACTAAGGAGAAGCAAGCACATTAAGAAACCTTTTAAATTAACACAACAATGTAAATCAACTATACTTTAATAAAATTTTAGAGAAATAAAACTTTTTTATATTTACCAGTCATAATCAAAAAAATGAGCCTGGAAATCCCCAGTTAAGTAAATGAACAATTTCACTTTTTGTTAGTCTTCAACAAAGTTTTTAATTACTGATTCAATTTTACTAGCTTTTAACATCTTCAGATTTTCTGTTTCTTCTTGATTCAGTTTGTAGATTGTTTGTTTCTTGGAATTCATCCATTTTATCTAGGTTATCCAATTTCTTACCTTATGTTAGTTTTAGGTTGTTTGCTTTCCTTTTTCTCATTCCTTAAGGTGTAATATTTGGTTTACTGGTTTAAAATCTTTGTTTTTTTCTAGTGTGTGATTATAGCTATAAATTTTCCTCTTAGGAGTGCTTTCTTTGTGTCCTGTATATTTTATGTTTTCATGTTCATATTTGTAAGATATTTTCTAGTTTCTCTTGTGAGTTCCTCTTTGACCTATTGATTGCTTAAAAATTGTGTTGTTTGAGTTCCTTAGATTTGTGAATTTTCTACCTTTGTTTTATTATTTATTACTATTTTTAGTCCATTGTGATTAGAAAAGATATTTTATATGATTTCAGTCTTTTAAATTTTATTATGACTTGTTTTGTGGACTAGTATGTGGTCTTTCCTGGAAAATATACCATGTGCGTTTGGAGAAAATGTGTATTCTGTTGTTGGGTGGTGTTCTATATATGTCTGTTAGGTCCAGTTGGTTTACAGTGGTCAGATTCTCTATTTCATTATTTATCTCTGTCCATTTCATATTCATTATTGGAAGTGAGATATTGAAATCTGTTATTGTAGAATTATCAGTTTCTCCCTTCAACTCTTTCATTGTTTGCTTCATATGTTTTGGGAGCTCTGGGTTTGGTTTTTGTTTATAATTGTTATATGTTCTTCATGAATTGACCCTTTTATTGATATGTAATATCCTTTGTCTCATAACATCTTTTGATTTATTTGTCTTATACTAGTAATGGCATCCTAACTTTCTTTTGGTTATTATTTGTATGGAATCTCTCTTTCCATCCTTTCATTTTTGACCTTCACATCTTCAAAGTGAATCTCTTTCTGTTTTGAAGTATAATTTATAGTATTATGTTAGTTTCAGGTATATAGCACAGTGGGTTTTTTGCAAATTATATTCCATTTTAAGTTATTACAAGATGCTGGGTATAATTCCTAGTTCTATGCAGTAAATTCTTGTTACTTATTCATTTTATCTATAGTGGTGTGAACCTGTCAATAAACTCAATTTATTGTTATCAACATATAGTTGGATCATCTATTTTTATAATACATTCTGCTATATCTGCTTTTGGATTGGAGAGTTTAATTCACTTACTTTTAAATTAATAAATGATAAGAAAAGACTTTTTTTTCTGGCTGTGGAGCTGACTGTGGCTCAGGTCATGAACTCGTTATTGACAAATTCAGACATAAATTGAAAGTAGGGAAAACCACTAGATATTAATGTATGACCTAAATCAAATCCCTTACAATTATACAGTGGAAGTAACAAATAGATTCAAGGGATTAGATCTGATAGACAGAGTGCTTGAAGAACTATGAATGGAGGTTCGTGACATTGTACAAGAGGCAGTGATCAAGACCATCCCCATGAAAAAGAAATGCAAAAACAAAATGGTCTTTTTACAAATAGCTATGAAGAGAAACTGAAAGGCAAAGGACAAAAGAAAAGATATACCCATTTGAATGCAGAGTTCCAAAGAATAGCAAGGAGAGATAAGAAAGCCTTCCTCATTGAATCAGTTCTAATGAGATGGATGAAACTGGAGCCCATTATACAGAGTGAAGCAAGCCAGAAAGATAAAGAACATTACAGCATACTAACACATATATATGGAATTTAGAAAGATGGTAATGATAACCCTATATGCAAAACAGAAAAAGAGACACAGATGTA